CGAGGTATACTTGGACGAGGGCAATTCTTACCTTAAAATTAGTTAACTGGTACAAAAAGTAAAAACGTACATAATTGGGAGATAAAAGCAGGCAAGCATGATCTGGCAGCCCTACTCACTTGAGTGTGTAGGGCCAGCCTAAGAAGTTGCTCAATTAAGAGCGGTTACTGCAATTGTTTACACTTATAAGATACGTTTCGGAACATTTATTTTGGTCTTGCATCTACTCATGTGGAAGCCAGTTTGTGTGTGTGTGTGACCACATGCAGTGTTAAGTAATTTGCCTCACAACAGGATGCATGGTTGCGGTTTCTGAGCCGATGTTTGTTTTGAGCGGGATATTGTGTATTTGAGACCGAGTTTAATGGAGAATGATGTAGGGGTGTAAACATTCTGCCAGCACAGCTCTCCATCTCAAAGTGGTGTTTTGTAACCATAAGAAAATAGATTAAACAGAAGGAATTGGCCTAACATTCCAGGCAAGGCTTGTGAAACACGTTGGGTTCTCCTGAATAAACATTTTCATTATTATTGTTTTGTGTGAGCACACATACACGATGGCAGCCTTGTTTGTACGTTTAGTCTACGCACCGAATGTTGCGTTCACGCGTGTATGTGTGTGGTTAAAATACACTACACTACAAAGCTGGCAATTCGAGATGTATTCCCGCTAGCGGCTGACATCAGTGGCAAATATTTGCACCCGTGCTTGGCCTCTCCTTGGTCGACTCAGCCTTAATTGAGTTCCTAGTGTGGCATGTAAAAATCAGCACTGCCTAGCACTGGCCTTAAATAGGTGCTCGCTAACAGCACTTGTCCCAACAGCCCGAAAAAGTTCTATATAAAGGGGGATCGTTTTGTACGAACAAGCTTATATTTTTATAAGTAATTAACAAACATGGGTCAACATACCCATGGGCTCTTGTTTTCCCCACTCACCCCCCCCCCACACCTCCCCTTTCCTCTATCCCTTCCTTTCCCAACCCTGACAGATTGCGTCCTGTTCCTATTTCGAATGAAAACCTAACTTGCACCTAAGCAAGACGTGTGAACATTGCGCTACATTTGCAGCAGGAATTATTTGCAGCTAAGAAAAAGAACCAATATGCAGAGCACGAGGTCACAGTAGAGCATATGGCAGGCTACAGATACACAGCTGAGAGATGTGGAATACAAAGATATAACAGACCGAATATTGGGTTTCAAACCAAAATCAGTCGTTTGTTAAGAAGAATTATAAAACAAATCAAAAGCAACATTTAGTTTTCAGGTCAGGAATGTGAGAAATGTCATCACGTGCCCTCAGTTATCCGATCAGCAATCTACGATATTATATTTTAGTCCTTTTTTTAGTCCACTGTTGAATGAAGGCTTTTTCCCACCTTGCTGTGGGTCATTTGACCACACTGGTCAGCACAGGTTTGTGAATGCAAGGGGGTGGCAGGACCAGTTTAGTTATCACTCGCCAAGAATGTTAGCAATGGTTGGGAACTGAACTCGCAGAACTAACTGCTGCAATCCTAAGTACTACTAACCAGACAAATGAGGCCTTGATAAAAAAAAAATTCTAAGAACAAAAGATCTACATTCCAGGATTAAAAACTTGTCTTGGAATCCGGACACAAACCATAGGGAAACTGGCTTCTGATTGTGAATGTGGCTGGTTTGCGTCATGTGCTGAAGTTTACGATACTTTTTTTTATTTACACAGAAGGGCGGTCTGCAGGAATGTGAACTCTGACCCCCAAGCCTTAAACAACCCCACCCCAACGCTGTCTAAATTGACAATTTTCATTAGTTTTGAATCGCTATCAATCAGTGAAACTACAGGGGCCACTCTGTGGCTTGAAGTTTAGTAGAGACTGGGATACACAATACATTTATACGTTTAGGTTCGTTGAAGCCAATCACGAATGGGCCAATGTACGTTACATTTAATGTTTCTGTGGATCACTCGTGAGAAAAACTGCATGGTTCTGTGGAAGTGCACTTTGGAAGCATTACAGTGAGTACATTTCAGAATTTTATTTTTTATCATTGATCGAGTTTCCTGAAGACCTTTCTCTTGTGTCTATTACCGTCTGTGTTTGAATTGTCTCACTTCACACTTATTTCATAATGCTGTCTCTCAAGTCCCTCTCTGATCTGTAGCATTCTGAATCTGTAACTGCACTAAAATTCTTAACCCCCCCCCCCGTGTCTTCTTCATTCTTTCTACATGTGCAAGCCTTGTAGTCTTACGGTGCCAGTCACATTTAAATGCCTCATTACGTTATCACTTGTGGTTATTCAATACTTGTCTTCCTCCGATGGAGATAATCAATGTCCCCCCCAGAGAAACAGGGAACTTCCACCAAGAAATAGTATTTTTTTGTTACAGGCTTATGAATGTGCGAGTGTAGGTGCGTGCTCACTAATGTAATTGGGATTCCACTGTGTAAATAAACTAAACAGATTTGGGTCCGTGGGGTGGTGGAGGCTACAGTGCAACTGACATGATGCATCGTGCTGGTGACAAATGTTATGGCCCTGCCCGAATTAAACTCTGCATAAAACAAGTACTGGGGTATATCAAGTTCCATACACAAACATACACACTGTGTATCAAAACAAACCTTTAAATACATATGACAAAAATCAAAAAGAGGACTGGGGAAACAAGGGAAGTAGGCGTGTGTGTTGTACTCGCCACGTTGCTTTCTTATTCATTGTGCATGCTGTAATGGAAGCTTCCTATCACAACTTGCCCCAAACAGTCTGACCATGCAGCAGATGGCATACTTATCGCCGTGTAGATAAAAGCATGACTTTGTGTGTTTTCGTGTATGTAACAAGTGAGTTACGTGAACCGGTCCTGGGCCACCTCTAGGTCGACTTGGCCTCAAATTATTACCTGGTTCAGTGTGTAAACATTGCTACTACGGAGACAAAATACAGACAGGCGTGGCACCCACCCCCTTGTGTACCATTCCGGCCTTCATAGGTGCTTGCTAACAGCACTTGCCCCAACAGTATGTTAAGGCTATCCAGGGGATATTTGTCTTTGACTTGTGAGTTGAGCGGTGTGTGTGCGAGCCAGCCATGTATAATAACAAGTCGCAAGTGGTATATATGTACCTCTCTTGGAATGCGTATAAGTTCAGGCTATAACTAGCATCTGGTTTATGATGAGAATGTCAGCAATACGAGATAGATAGTGGCCAGTTACGGTGCTAACTGCATCACCACCTCACGAGCCATGTAGGCTTTAGTCTTCACTAACAGCACTTATCCCTATTTTCTTAGGCTAAATAGGGGATCTTATGCTGGGGGTTTGCTACTCTTTCAAAAAACATGTTGTCCAGAGGCTCTTACCTGGCTAAATACAATATCATTTTGGTGCTGAACAGGTGCTAAATAGTTTATATGGAGCGATTTGCCAAAAAACATCTGGCATTCCAGCAGCAATTGTTTAACAAGCCTGACTGTTGATGAGAGTCTGGACAAAACTGGTCCAAGGTTTTCTTGCTTTAACAAATGCTGCTGGATAATATTGGTCAGGTGAAGACAATAGGCCAATGGACATTTTTGTGTGTGCCGATAAAGAACAGAGTTCTGCTTATATTTGTCTTATACCTTCCGAACACAAATTGCACGTATGTTGAACTTATTTTGCACTGTACATAGCCAACCCGTGCAAATCGGAGGTGGGAGATGATAGTGGCCAAATTGTGTCACTCACTGGTTGCGCTGGGTGACCAAGCATTTGTAGCTTGCCGAACATGTCTACAAGGTGCTGGTATCTTGTGATTAAGTGAGCAGGACAATGTCCCCTCGGTAGGGCGTGCCTTCCCGTCTGTCCTACCGCACCCCATAGCGAACACGTTTCACGTGCCAAACTACCAGGGGCGAAGGAGGTCAGGTCACATCGACGCCAGTGTGTGGGCGTGCGTGCGGGTATGTGCGTGTGTGCCTGCATGCCGTTGTAACTTCTTTTTCTAAAGCTACAAGCTAGAGCAGGCTACCGTGTGCTAAAATATTTAAGAGCAGAGGTGATTCGATGACTGAAGTGTAACTCTGGGTCCACCCGCATTGGACTTAACAATGATGTCAGGGCTACATGTGCGATTTGCCAGATGTGGTCACCTGACTTGAGGCTTGGTCTTATGTATGTGTGGTAGGAAAGTGACAAAGTACAGTAGTTAGAGACTCTATTCCACTATGGACCCAGCAGCTACAATGGCAATTGGTCACTGAAGTTGCAATATGGGCCTCCTCTAGGTCGACTCAGCCAAACCATATCCAGGTAGTGTGTTATATTAGGGTGAATGGCAGACCTTTGTTTTGTGTGTGCGCAAATTTGTGCATTTCTATACATGCATGCTTGGCCATTTATTTTCAGGTACGTTTTGAATTGTTTGTTTCTGCACATGTGTGAAAAGTGGTGGAATTATGCAGGGGGGGGTGGGGGTTCCAAAATGCACAACGCTTTTGCCAATCTGGATTTCATTCTGAGTTATGGATACCATCAGCAGTGAATAGTGTCTGTTCTGGTCCTCCTCTAGGTCATCTCAGCCTCAAAACAAGTACCTTCAGGTGATATGCAAACATTAGCCCTGTAGAGGCAAATATGTCCAAGCATGGTATTGGCCACACCACCCTCTCGTGCGCCTGACCGGCCTTAGTAGATGGCAGCTAAAAGCACTTGCCCCTACAGTCTATAATAATAAATGGCGAGAGTTTGTCTTTGTATGTCCGTGTATGCAGAGTGGGGAGCACCGATTGTGCATCTCTCAGTCATCTCAGTCAGCCAACCCATAACACCTTGGTCTGTCCTGTGACATCCTGCCATAAAGCCTCCGACACTTCACGCGACCTCAAAATTCACCTTCCCTTGCACAAGCGCTGCAGTTACATCATCACAATTATTGGAGAATGGTGGCTGTTGTTGTATCTGTATGTTGTACGAGTGTGTCCGTGCATCCGTGTCCGTATGCCCGGGTGTGTCCGTGTGTCCTCACCTTGCAGCATGCTGCGGTAGGCCGTGTCGGTGACAGCGTAGATGTGCGGTGGGACCTCGTGGCGCTTCTTTCCACGGTACATCTCGATGATCTCCTCCGAGTAGATTGGCAGGTTTTTGTAGGGATTCACCACCACGCAGAACAGCCCAGAGTAGGTCTGTAAGAGCACCCCAACCATCAATATCATCATAATAATTATCACCGGTGCTATCGTGGAGAACAAACCTAGAGTACATTGGTGACAGCACCATGATCACTGTTGTCATTAGCATCACTATTAACATCTTCATCAGCTGCAGCATTCATTACCAAACTTAATACATACTTAAGTAGAGCCAGTGGTCATCAGCATCAATATTATCATTCAGAATGACCGCACATCCAAAAGTTTCACCATTATCATCACACACCTCGAAGTGTATCGAAGACGTGCACATGCTTTATGATCACATTTTTATGATTACGATCAACAAATATGAACACTATTTGATATTTAGTTTCCAAAAAACTCTTCACTTATGGACTCAAGATGGGGAAAACTGTCAAACCCAGGCTGAATAATAATAATACCCAGGTTGGTGGCACTAGTTATCACGTTTCAATTGGAGGGCGTTGATGAAATCCTGGGAAGGCTGGACTCAGACCCTCAACCCTCCAGGATCATTAAACGAATACCATCCGTGGTGTTTCTGTCTCGACAAGGCCCCTGCAATAAGAATGTGCAACCTCCATTCAAGGCTTAGGATCGTTAACAGCAATAATAAGCAACGCCACATGCTTGTTCGAGCATGGAGACGCTGCGACTCTGTAGTAGTTGCTGTAGCCCACAGGGCGAAGGTGTGGAGGCCCGTGGCATGCGAGTCTTACATCATGAAATTGGAAGCCGAATCTTCGTGCGAACATTGAAAAATAATTTACATGCACACATGCGTGGGAATGACATAATCGTATCAGTGCTCGTGGCAGCAGTCGCAGTACCTGTGTAGTGACATCGCGGATGTCACTATGTAATGCCGGCCCTAGAGAGGCAGGGCGTGTGGTGTAACGACATCGCGGGCAAAACGTACATGTGGGTGCAGTACCAGCCCTAGAGGGGCTCGGTGAGCGCTGACTGGTAGTGCTGGATGGCACCACGCTCTGCGTGCAGTGCCGACCCCTACAGGATAGGGTGTTAGAGTGCCGGCCATGGAAATGGGGTTACTAAGGGCCATGGCATTCTGGTTGACCCCGAAGGACACGTGACTGATTAAGTCTACAAGGGGCCCCCAAATGGGGGCTAGGGGTGGTCACGTGTCAGGGCCAAGATCCTGCTCGAGGATTCTAGAAGGTGGTCGTGGCTAAGGGCGGAGCCTGCCATGCCACGGAGGATATAAGCCGGGTCCCTGAGAGGGACCGGCTGCTGTTGTTATCCTGAAGAATCTACGTTCTACAGTCACCAACACGTGGACCTGGACCCAAGCTGTGGTCCGGTCCGTTGTAGCTAGTTCCTGTGTAATTAGTGTAGTTAGCCTGGTGGTCCACCACCATAGGTTGTTATCTTGTTAAGGGGCAGTTACCCCTTGTGTTGATGTTAATAAATGTGTTGCCTCCAAGAAGTGTGTCTGCGACTCAGTTGAACTCACTACACCTGTATTTTCACTGCCAAATTCGCTGTTTCTTAACATCGCTGCCTCAGCGGATAACAGAAGTCAAATTTCGAACAACCCCGTGGATAATAGGATTCGCAATATTGGTTCCCAATATGTGCACATCAAATGTTTTACAATTATTATTGAATGCTTCACATTGCATCCCAAATGCACTCTCTGCTTCTAAGTGAATGTTGTTGTTACTTACCAGGTAATATCTATAACAAGACCCACATATCACAGTATGTAACAACACTACAATTATAATACACATTTAAAAAGGGTCTGTTTCATCTAATGACTATTTTGCACCCTCTCTTAAGCACACACAGACAAAAGTGTTGAAATGGGACTCGAGAACTCGGCTCAATATTATTAAGCACAGAACATGCCAAGATGGTTCATTATGTACAGTAATCGTTGATTGGTTTGGGACCAAATTCTTTGCAATGGAGAAACTCCTTTAACCACAGATTTGACCCGAGGATTCCGACCCAGCATCTCACCGGTGTTGGCGCAGTACTATGACGAGGGTATTTTGAATCCCATGAGGTACATGGGCTGCCACGGTGGCGGGATGTTAACTACCTCGTCTGGTATACACAGGTCGTGGGTTTGACCCCAACCCTGACGCCTGTATATTTAAAGTTTGCATGTTCTCCCCGTGGTCGTGTGGATTATTTTCTGGGTCCTCCGGTTTTCCCGCCACATTTAAAACCAACATGCGTTTAGAGCATTTGGCAGCAATACATTTCCACACGAAAAGCCACTTCATTGAGCTATCATTTGTGATAGCCAGGTCGCTTCTGACAAAAAGCTACATAGCTCAGTGGGGCCTTGCCTGGTAAAATAAAACGTTTTGTTTTTAGTTTGAAATGCAGACCCGTTAAGGGTCTGCTTCGCATTAGGCTTCTCTGGCAGCTTTAAAACCACGAGAGATCTCTGCACGATGGGCAGCCTCTGTGTATTTGGGGCCCTGAAGGGAAACATTTTGTGAGCAGTCTTTGATCTGTTCCAATTACCTCTAAATGTATATGTATTGCATTCGGTGTTCTAAATGACAGTCTGTACACATTACATGCAGCAATGTACACATTGCATGACACAGTTATCTGGTTTGACCACCTGAGTGTGAAATTGTAGCTGTTGCTCTACATCTACATCAACCATACAAAAGAAGGAGACATGTAATCACATTTCTGATGGAGAAAGTTATACTCGGGTCAATTGGGTCATCAAAATCAATGTTGTGGAGACCACCGCACCTCATAATCAACGTTTTTGCATTAGATCGCGTTATTTATAAATGTCTCGTATAAATGGTCGAGAAAGCCTACGTGTTAAACTGACCACCACCTCTTTTCTATTGTCATAAAATGCAGCTTTCCCAAAGCTGATACCTAAACTCGGTATACCTTCCAGATTAGACCTACCATCTGGTTTTAGTGTTCCCATCTGCATGACGCATAATACGGGCAGGAGGGGGGCTCCCTGAGCAGTGGGCGGGTCAATGGCTGAGTCTGGTTATCCTCAATTGAAACAATTGTTGACAGAGCTGAGATAATCAACTCGCTACACTTAAGGTGCAAAGTTTAAATAATACGTGGCTTGGAACCAGGAATTCAACCCAAGTCCCCAACAATGCCAGTTAAGTGTTGTGATATGGTCAATATAACCATTTGTAGCTAGAGAAATGATATGATATCTACAATAATTTTGAAGGCCACATTGCTGCAATAATCATATGCAAAACAATGAAGTGCCATTGATGTAAGGGGTAACTACATAAATGATTGTAAGGAAACTAATATTGTAGTGTTTGGTGTGATTCACCTAATTCTTTCACTCAATTTAAGCTTAATGTAGTGAGACATGGATCCACTTGTAAGATTAAGGATTTAAATGGCAAATCATTTTAAAACATGTCACGTTAAATGTGACAATTATTTCAGAAATTACGACACCATTGTTTTTATTCAAGTAAAATAAAAAAAAATCCATCTATTTTCACTCATCTCTCTGACAATGTGGATAAAACTCTTGGATCAAATGCTGCTGTTAGTAGGAACCGACTAAGGCTGCCACAGCATCATATACAATGAGGTGGTTTAGTCAGACTGCACACATTTGACCGACTACACACCACACCAGGTCCTCAAAGACTGAATTGACCTCCGGGAAGTCAGGACAGATCCAAACAGCACTTGCCACCGATGCTATACATGGCCGGGAATCGAAAAAAAAAACGTTGCCGAGACTGTAGCGTTATGTATAAACCATTGCACCACTACACATATACGCAAGGCAGTCATAATTCACCTGTAAATGCTGATATCATTATGACACCGGTGCCGAACTAGGTATGTTTTTGAGGTACTATTGAGGAATTATGGGTTAACGGACGAGGGTGACTGGCAAACGCTCCACAGACGATCCCCACTGTGCCAACTGTATGTTATCCACTTTGTCACTGTGAGCATCGCTCCTCTGCCTCTTATTGTTGAGAGAAGGCATCTGCTGATATCTGCCAATAGTCTTTCGCTAGCCCCCCACCCCCTTCCCCAACATAGACCGATTCTGACACCGCTGGTACCAGCAAACAACAGCAGCAACAACTCCACAGCTAGGTTAGGTGCACACCGAGACCATGTAGACTGGCGAAGGCTGACTGGTGGGAGATTACTCGTCACGCCCAACGTTTATAGGTCTGTTATAGGTCAGCATGAATGGCAGATGCACCACCCACGCTTACAACTGTAGCAGTACACGTACACCAGTATAAAGACAAAGAGCTCCCTTATTGCCAGACTCTTTGGTGTAAATGCAGTTCGTGAGCACCTCTGACGGCCGCCACAGCACAAAGGGGTGATGTGGCCAGCACGCACGTGCACACGCATGCCAAATCATCTACCTCGCAGGTACACCCACACGGAGACACACACACAAGCAGGCAGACTCACGTAGATTAGGCCGGAGTAGTATCGGTCCTTGAGGTTGTGCAGCACGGACGCCTCGTTGAGGCACGTGAGCTCCGCCATGTCCTCCACCTTGGCGAACTTGGGCGGGTTCATCTTTTGGACGTCATCCTTGTTCACGGTCACCTTCTTCTGGTTCTCCGCGAGCTCCACGAGGACCTCATCGCCTCGCTCCTCCTGTCGGGCCACAATGACACGGGGACGGGGGAGGTCACAGGTCAACCCTGCTACAAGAGCTGTTGCTGGAAAAAACTTGATAAGCCACAAAAGCTCAGTGTTCGCAATGGAGCGTTTGGTTGAGAGCAGATAGAAGTGCACTGTTAACGTGAATTTTACGCTGGTAGATGACACCCATACTCCGAGTGGCGTTGCAATTACCTACATGCTGCACACTGACAATGCCTTCCTGCTTTAAGCTGCACATACCGCCGGACTTCAAATTCTGTCCGGCTTCTTTATTGCAAATGCATACCAGCTTCAAAAAGTGCTGATGCTCTTGCAGCATAAACTGCCTGCCAGAATAAAATGCTTTCTTCCTACTCACTGGAATTCCTCTGGGATTAAAATATCTCCATGCCACCCACTTGCTGCAGATGCATCTTCAGCCTCAGCTGACACCGCAAAATACCTCGAGACTCCATGATGAAAAAGCATCCATGCTTCTGATGTATCTCAGCTACTCAAAGCAAATTCCTCTCCAATGTAAATGGGCCGCAACTACTCGACACACATCTATCCGTGCAGCAGGAAAATACGTTGCTGGAGACGGTTTGCACCCCAGGTGTTCTGTGATGCTTCAGGCCGAGCTGAGCCAAGCATGGAGAGAGAAGAACATTATGGGGGGGGGGGGGGGGGACAGTGGAGGTGGAGGGGGGATAGCACTCACCTTGATGCTGGCAGCCTCGAAGCCATGCTTCTCAGAAGGAACCCACACGAGGCGGCGGGCGCTCCAGTCGGCCTGGGCAGCCGGGATGGAGTAGGTGTTGCGCTCCACGTACAGGTACTTGTCGGCATCGCTGGAGGCTCCGTCGCCCGAACCCGCACCGCGCTTAGCCATGCTGCCTGCTCCCACATGCGCAAATGGACACACACGTGTTTACAAAGATCACCCATGTAGCCTTTAACAGATTTTGGCAAGCACTTATAAAGACCGGAATGGTACACGAGGGGGTGGGTGGCCAGCACCACGCCCAACCGCCTTTGTTTCTCTTGTGGCAATGTGTACACACTGCACTAGATACTCATTTGGAGGCAGAGTCAACTTAGAGGAGGCCCAGGACTGGTTCAGATAATTGTCATTGGGGTTGACCATAAGCTGGAATCGAACTTGGGATGCCGGGTTTTCAGTGCTGCGTATTAACCGTTGCATTACCGCTTCCCACATACATACACACGGGCAGGCACATAAGCTGATGCACACACACACACATAGTTACATACAGTTATATATCAAAATAGAACATGAATATAGATTGCACAGGATGATTCCCTGTGGCTATGCCACTCATTCGGCCATTAACAGTGAACTCCAAGGAAGCTAAATCTCACTCCCTGATCCCAGGACATTAACAATGGAATCTAAGAGTCTTAACAGTGCTGCCTTTGGTTGAGCTCTCTGAACCTCAGACATTAACCAAGCTCTAGATCTTTCTATCTTCGAGGAGTTTAATATTTTTTATATCAATCTTTTATAATTTTTTAAATACATTTTACGTATGCGTTTCCTTTAGAAAGTAAACCAAGGAAATTGGCAGTGGATGAATGAAGTACTGTAGTTACTACAATTACGTGATGTGGTTCAGATATGACCACGGCCCTGCAGATAGTTCTCAAACCATAAAAGGTAAAACTAAATAGACAATTATACGTCATCGTTGTGGCTATATTCTTTGAGATGTTTCCCACAAATTATTTCCCAATTACGCGATCAGTCATGGCTTGAAGTGAAGAAATGTCCTTCACGAAGCTTAGCTTGGTTTGTAAAAAGTGTCAACATGTCAGGGAACGGCCCCTGAAGAGGACGCCACAGAAATATTTCTGGCGCCACGACAATAGGCCTCGCTTACCTAACACTAGAAATACATTATTATTTCTGTGTAAAGTCATTCTCTCAACATGTACTCATCAGTATTGCACACGATACAGCTAGGCTAGCTAACATAAATGAAAGACAAATTTATTATCATGATCTTGTTGTTGCTTATAGCTAAATGTAAAAAAATCTAAAAAGTACTAAATTATAGTAATGTTTTACCCTTTCAACTGGTACAAAAAACTGACACCTTTATACAAGGCATCATGTTTGCAATAACCACAACACAAGCAGTCAAAATGCAAACAAAAATAAACAACTCTGATGATGATAATGATATGCACTGTCCTTGAAGTTGATTGGTCCACACCCGAAACAGCTTTTCTTAGAGCCCAGTCTCCATTGGTGTTGGACCAGATGACGCCAAAAGGCGTACAACTCAAAGACAGCGCACTATCAGAGTATTAAAAATTAATTAGATAGATTGAGCCAATTACACATCATATTATGCAATTTTTTTCTTACATTATTTGTTAACTGCCAACTCACAACACTTCAAAACGGTTTAATCACGGGTGGCTGCCTGGTTTTGTAACAGGGTCTGTTTTAAAACTACATCCCAATGAGCAGCTTGAGCTGGTTACGGATGAAGTGGCTTCTCTTTTAAAGTTCGTGAAGGACACACTGGGCACGAGGCTCGATGCTGCACACCTTTGAGCCCGGCAGTGAAAAACAAGGCCATTACGCAGTACAGTAATAGCATGAGCAACACCAACCCCACCTTCCTGTGTTCAGGCTATCCGGGGATGATGTCACACACCACGGTTCCAACCTCCCTCTCTCCTCCTTCTCGCAAACTCCCTGCAGCCAACACAATGGTGCCATGATGAGGCGCGGCTATGGGTGGGGGACCGGATGGTTAACTGCATCTTGGCCTCTACGTTTGCTTCACATTTTTTCATTCGTCGTATTGCAAACTTCCCACGTTTCGAGCGGTGCAAGAGGCAAGCCAGATGGTTTAATGCAGCCATCTCGGTCTTTGCGAGCGGTATAGCATCAGCTGTTAACCATCCTCGCTGAACTTTAACCCACACGAGATAGAGCCTGGTGACTTGCCCGGGTGAAGCGAAAACCACTCTTAAAAAGCAACCCTTGGGCAAGCGTGGATGCGAGCCGACATAGATTGTGCAAATGAAGAATGTCGAGGATGGGATGGCTTTAGCAGGCTGGATCGTAATGACTAGAGTTATAGAATCGCCAATTCATTCAATTGGTTGGTTATTCCCATTCATTCATGCGACCTCAAGGCAAAAACTGCCACTCGGCTCCATGCCAATTATGTACTGTAATTCCATGGTAACCTTCATTTCTTGCTCCCTCTCAAATATCTCTGCGGGCAAATGGTGGGTTAATGTAAACACGAGCGAGGAGCCCCCCGGTGATATTTGATGCCAACGAATATCTTCTAGAGAGTTTTCCACCCCAAAGAAATGTATCGCGTATCCAATGAAACGCATTGGACATCACCACGGCCGCACGTTTTGGCGGGAGAAGCCACCACGTGCGTTCCAGGGTCAAAGGGCATCTCATCATCCCTCATGCGGCCCCACACTGCCTCTGCCCCCCTCCCTTCCCCTCCCATGTATAACATTGAACCTCATCATGTAGACCTAGTCAAAGGTCACATTCATCTAACGTCACCCTCATTCACACTTGCTTCCTAATCACTCTTCGTTCACCGAAATTGGTGGAGCAGTCTAGGAGGAGGTATTCATGAAACCAAACGTACACACCACGTTATCCGCTTATATAATCTATACTGTACTGGAAAGGTGTGTGGTTTTGTAGCCAGCGAACTGGCAACTAAACCAACCTGCACAGGTGAATGGTTCCTGATGAGGCCACCCTTTAACTTACGTGGGAAATGAATGCATTTCTGCTTTTCATTTCACATTAGAGATCCTATTATGTCATCATTGAAAGCGCAGGTAACTTTTTCAAGTATCAAAGCTCACGTCGCTCATGTGAAAACTGCGGACAGATCAACTCCACTAATTACCTCTGCTCGAGTTGCCTTGACGGCATTACGAAACGCATGAGAATTTAAATAGACGCTCGCCCATTCAAACATCAGACATATAATCACCGGTACTGTACTTTAACTTGACTTACCACATCCGGCCGGTTGTCGCTGTGGTTAAAATGCTTATTTCACATTCGGGAAATTGTGCATTCAAATTCTAGAGAGAAAAATAGCTATCAAATGGAGAAAAATCTTCACACTTGGCCTCGCCATAGGAATGTGGATTTTCCGCTCCTGGAACAGGGCCATCAATGGAAATGATCACTATCTTTTGACCACGGAACCAACTTTGGGGCACATTTACATGTCAATGAAAGGGCCTGAACTCATCTTAACCAGTTGTGCTTGCTTCCCTCTTTATAAACTGCACTGACGAGCCTTAAGTATGTGGAGCATTTAATCCAGAAGTGGCTTGACAAAGTACAATATTACAGTACTAATAAGAGCAACAGAGACCTATTTTGTCAAAATATGGATGAAAAGTGATCCTCCAATGTGTAAACTCAGCCCCTTGTCTTTTTAACTGCAGTACAATATTGGTGTAAGTGCTCTCTCGTGAGAACCGAATACCTTATTCCCATACTGCACTAAAATGTTAAAATGTTAAAATATTTAACATTTCTGTTTATTTCCGTTTGTAGTTTTACCACATTATTTATTATTTTAGGGTGGGTCGATGTTACAGTGGTTATTGCACTCCGCTTTGAACCCAGCCACTGGAGTTCGATTTCCGGCCATGGCTAACATCAGTGGCAGGTGATGTCAAACCAGTCCTGCTAACCTTCCCCCTTCACCAACCTGCACTGACCAGTGTGGTTGAAGTGTGTCAAGAGAAAACTCCATGACTGACAAGGCATGGGAATGACATGGCAAGGGGAGGCCATCATCCATTGGTGGTGAAATATGTGTTTCTAAAAATCTCCATGATTAACAGAGCATGGAGGACTTCATTCATTGATGGATTGAGAATGGCTGCATTAAGCTAAATGTATTGTATTTAAGGATTACTTTGCTGCTTAATGTTACACATTATCGATCAGAAATAACTCATGTGCCAACTTTGTCAATATCACAACAATGAAATATCTATTTTTCTCTACACAAACTATGTTTATTGTGTGCTTTGTGTCTCGCTTTCTCTGCCGGAGGGACCACTGTCCCAACACCACAGGTTCCTTAGGATTTATAGGGATTTAACAAGATATGCCTGAAACAGCCAGGCCAAGGAATCACTAACAAAAACATGAAACAGCGCATAATTTGCAGCCCTTCCAAATAAGCCACCCAAATAATACATTGCTTGACAAACTGTTTTTACCAGGTGAGAACGCATTATTTTATTCAATGATAACTTGGGTATATTACATCATCACTTGCAGCCCTGGTTAATCCACTGCTGGATGAAAGCCTCCACAAACCACCACCATCGCTCGCTATCTTGCGATGCAATAATCCAAACACCTGCACATAAGCCATTTTGTAATGCTCCATCTCCAGGTATTTTACAGTAGAGTACATACTTGAACCCATATAACAATGGGTAACATAAGATGCAGGTGGCAATGTACATCGTTATCTTTCATTCAGTGACTTGATGGTGGGGTTAGCGAATCACGTGGAGATGGAGCCACAATGTATGCGAGACACCAAACTGCAGGATGCAGTACAGGAAAAAAATCTCCAGCAGCGAGTTTGAGTGTTATCGCCATATGCGTAGTTTTTCTCCTGGAATTCCAGTTTCCCTCCACATTTAAAAATACTCAAAAGAGGAAACCGCTAAGAAGGAACATTCTGAAAGGAGTATTTAAACTCCATGAGGTTTTCTTCGGTAAAGGTTTGTTTAATGTCTAATAGTTAACATTACTATTTAATAATTACAATATACAACATTTTGTCAATATGGAATTGCCCAGTGTTGTCAGTCATTGAGATTGCTTAATGAAACTT